CCTTTATGATGCAAGAATTACATCAGTTCTTCTTCCCAGAGTGCTTCCCATTCGAAGCATCAGCTGATGTTTCCTCTTCAGACTTTGCTACACTGTTCAGCAGTTCATGGAAGCTTGCAGGATCTGCATAGGATTGATGTGGAGGCAACCTATGCAAAGATGGGTACATAGATTAGACAAAGAAAGCAAAGAAACTTCCGACAGCTATACCTGAATTTTCCTTACCTGCTTGCCTTCACAGTCTGTCCATCTGTATTCACTTTCACATCATAAATATTGCCTGCAAAATGTGCTAGTAATCTCAATTGGGATACCGAATAATGACATTCTCCAGACATATGATACAAATTAAGTGGTAGGGGCATTGAAGATCCGCACCAGAAACTTTCCAGTTAGCTATTCTGCATGCATTCTAACAAAATACTGAAAGAACTCTCTCTTATTGTGCCAAAACAAACATAAATCCAATCATAACTGCTCTAAGTATGACTACCCAACAGATCCTAAGGTTGGTTTACATGCTTCATATTGTTTCATTCCTTGAAACTCTTCAGAAATATTGAAAATAACTGTTTTTTCCTTTTCAACTGAGTTCAACTAGATGTATTGAGAGAATGAATTACAGCTGCATGAAATCATCAAGTCTCCAGCATCAAGTAGGGAAAGGATGCTAACCTTTAAACAAACTATCTCAGAATAACATAAAGCTTCATACTCGTTTCAGGTCAAAAGAAAACTAACTAAACAATTTCAGCTTGCAAAGTACATGGGGTACACGAAGAGAATGAATCTCAGAACACTGCAATTAACTATGACAAGAACTACTGCCCTTATTACATATGCAAGTATGAAGCAATAGACAAAATGCTACTAGGATTTTAAGGATTTAAGTAGGAGAAATAGGACTTCTACACACATAAAATCAATTGCTACTCTAACTAAAGATCTGAGGCAAAATGCTGGATCCTAGCAAAGCATTTCATGTAACTACACTTACCCCCATACAGGGTCTTGTCAGAGAAGTACTTAGCCGTCACATAGCTAGTCATCTGCGTTACATAATTTTCATACTTTTTCTTGTCCTCCTGGTTATCCATATCCCTACAGATCAAGAACATTGTCGACATTGACATCACCTCCAATAAATGTTTCAGCAGAATGAACTTTTACGAGATCAATCATTTAAGATACATTAAGCATAAATTTCAAACAAACTGGGAGAAGTAAGATGAAATCCTTGTAGCAATCAACAGGAGATGATAAGAAGAATAAAATCCTTGGAAACTAGGTTGCCAGCTGAAGGAAGCAGCTTGTGATACTTTTTGCCCAATGCTTATATTTGATTCATAAACAAGAATACCATAGCCATGACTTGATTTAGCTGGGGAAAACAAGCAAGTGACATAAGGTAGTGTGTTGACAATGAGCTCATTCGTCACAAAAACCAAGTCATGCGACACAGACGGTAAGCTCATTCATAAATTATTGAGAATTGTCATTTCCTTTCCTGTGCATAGCAATTGGCAAAATAACAAGGGTCAAAAGATGAACTTCACAAATCTCCCATCATTAATGATATCATCTCCAGATCACCCCAAGGCAGTATTTTGGATCTCTTCTTCATTTTCAAAACAGTCAACAGAGAACGGGATGATAATGCAAATAAACAAAGAAAGATAATCTTCTCTAGTTTAACATCTATCTACATAGTAGCAGACCACTTTTTTGCAATTGCCATTTATGCCACAAAAACATTCAGGTTTCAGAGAAGCTTCAACAGCAAAATATAGATATCTCCATAAAAAACTTTTACAAAATTCAGTGAAACAAAAAAGATGAGCATTGGAAGCACATGCGTTGACCTTGGTAAATCTAATAGACAAATGGTTGTAAAAGTATATTATTCAGAAATTTTAGGTTAAAAGATATTTTGAATTGCTGATGGCCTGCACCAAATAGATACAGATATTACTGTACATAAGCTAAACCAGTTACATAAATAAAAAAATACAAAATAATTATTATTAGATGCAGGAGAGAATTCTTTACTTGACAAAGGTTTCGATACGAGAAGGGGCTGCCGCCGCACAAGAAAATTAGGGCTAGATGAGTAGAGAGTAGTTTTGCAAATGCAGTAGTGGCCTATTAAAACTCATGGGCAGAATTGTCATATTCTGCCTACCATGAAGGCAATAAAGTAAATGCATGACCATAAAGATTTATAAAAAAACAAATGAAAGATTGAGTAGGCTCAACAAAGCATACATTGACTCTCAGGCTTTGATTTCTTAAAGAAAGTTGTCTCCGCCATTTCCCTAATTCTTATGCTGCGTCACACAAAGAACCTTGGCAGTAAATTAAAATATTCTTGGAAATCTTGATTGTGTAGTTAGTTTTCTTATACTTGCTTATTGTTCACCATGTGCTATAATATAATTCACAATCTTCAATATTTTAGCATTAACACAAAACATTTTTGTAAATGACTGGCTTCAATTCTGTAACTGCAATAGCTAATAAACAATCAACAATTCTAAGTGGTTACATGCAATTTGTGGTTTTCTTCAATGTAGCCAGTGACTCAACGCAGAGCTAAAAGCTTTAGAACTTGTGTACTTTGATGCTTCAGAGATGTACAGTAAAGAAATGAAAAGAGGAAATGAGAAAATCAATGACATATAAGAGAAAAACCATGCATAATAGAGAAGAATCATTCATGTTGCCCTATATCTATGACTGGCAACAAAGATGACCTTGATTCCCTAACACGCTTGTGATCCAATAAAAATTCATAGTCACACACTGACAATATTGTTGGACCACCCCTCCTCCCAATCAAGTGGATGCACTCCGATTTCCAGAACACCACCTGTCTTTACAGTGATACGAAGTATTCTGACAGATTTTACTTTGAACAGCACATCAAGGTTAGTGCTAAATGATGTATACAGAAGTTATCATTTTAAGTAGATGAACTTCAACTTCCACAGACAATCAAGATAAAAAGTCAAACATGACATGGAAACCATAAAGATATTTTAAGTTCAATTTAGTGAAAGAGAACTTACACATAAGAAATTGAGCACCTGATTATGATTTGACATGTTTCCATACCAGACATTTTACATGGGAAGTCTCTACTTACAATATGCGTTCTTCTGTCAACATTCACATTAATATCACATGCATTTCAACGGTATACTGACAGGGGTCAGATTTAGTTTCCTCAAAACTGACATAGCGGTTTTCAAGTGCACAACAGTCCTAGCACCCCATTCAATTTAATTAGTAAAAATGTGCAAGTTCACAATTTTCTTTTCAATAAACAACTCCTGGAAAGCAAAAGTCATTTAGTTTTTGAAATATCTATTGCCATGTTGTTAAATACCAAAACTATAAACATGACATAGATCTCAAAATCAAAAATTTGCCATAGAGAAATTTGGGGAAGTTCTAAAAGGTAGTTTCTTTCAATCTATTGTTTTACACATGTTACAATTTTTTTTCTGTAAGTAGTCTTGAAACCCCTCTGTCCGCCCCCCCTCCCCCACACAAAATCCCTCTCTCACTTCATTCAGAATGAAGCCATATGCATTCTAAGAATATCAAAAGACAAAGAAAACAGGGAGAAGATGTAAAACAGGAAATAAAGCAAGATGGTCTTTGTACGTGCAAGTAATATAGCAAGTTTACATCATATGCTCCATATTGAATTTTACTTAAGCATGCAATTTGATCACTGAAATCATCAATAAACCATTCTATCCCATGACATAGAGCAATTAACATAAAAAGATTATATCATGTATGCATTATATAATTTTGCATATCAAGCATCCAATTTAGCAAAGTGAATGATCATTAAGGATTCTACTCTATCTGAATAGTACACCACAGGAGCTCAGATAATCAAAACTTAGCAAGCGGAAACACATGTATGATTTAGAAATATTTAATGAATCATATGGAAACTAAATCACATAAAAGACCATAATTTATGAAACATACATACTACAACACATGCAGACCCAAAAACCTACAAAGGATAAGCTTTTATTAATTCCACGCGTAAAATCAGATGGCAATATAAATTAAACTAACAAAAATTCTATCTCTTAAGACTTACTTAGATGGTTCTTCTTTCTTTGGCTCCAGGAGTGCACCATTTTCACTTGACACGTCCTGCCAAAAGTTAATTCAGAGAAAAGCAAGAAAATATTGAAAAAAAAAAAAGAAGTAAAAAAAAGTAGTGGTGAATGTTGGAAATAAGAAAGAATAAAAACCTGTTCTTCTTTGTTCGGGGGCAGAGACGGAGATGAAGCAGACTCAGAATGAAGCCCGGAATTTGATGCTGAAGTTGAAGCCATTGTAGCCTTTGTTTGATTACTGATGTCTTTTTCTCCGAGTGTCGGGTTTTTGCAAAGGAGGAGCGGGCTTGAGCCCCGGGGGTGGGGGTTTGGTTTGGATGTCTTAAATACTGACAAGTTTTCCAAATTAGTAACGGCAGCAGATAAATAGAGTTTGGAGTTTGGACAACGAATTGGACGGGTGAGAAGGTTACTGGGATTTTTTTTCCAAAATGTCTAAAGGGAAATTTTGGACACGTTCCTGCACTATCAGAGAGACTCAAGTAGCTGCCAATCTGCCACCGGTTATAGGCGGAAGGGGTGCTGGTAGTGGTGCTGGTGCTGGTGGTGAAGGAGGCGGCGCCACCATATTGGTATGTAGAGATGTTGTGGCAGACGGTTGGAGTTGGAATCTATGAAATGGAAGTGAATCTAAAGTTGTGAAAAATTTAATAGGGAAAAACGCCAATTTAGTCCTTAAACTATTTCACTAAAGCCGATTTGGTCCCTTAACATTTTATCGCATGAATTAAGTCCATTAACTAAAATTCTTGTGCCAATTGAGGACTTATACGGTGTCGCCACCCAAAACACATGTTTCTGTACACAAACCAATGACGAGACAGGGGCTTTTTTGGAAGTAAAAAAATACGATTTCTACGGGAAGCAAGATACCATTTATTCCCACTCATCCGAGCTCAAAACTCAGTGTAGTGAGGAGTTTCAGTGTACTACATAACAAAAAATCCACCCCTCTCCCACCATTCTCTTCCTCCTCCCTAAATGCTAGTAGCAGTTAAATTAAATGGCCATCTCTTCCAATCTTCCCCTCTTCCCTGCTACACTGTTTCTCTTACTCCTCCTACACCTCCCAACATCCCCTGTCTTAGTCACTGAAAGAGAGCGCAAGACGATCATCGTTCGAGTTCACCCCGATGCTAAGCCTTCCATCTTCCCCACTCATCAGCACTGGTATGAGTCCTCCCTCACCTCTCTCCGCTCATCTCATGATTCCACCACTGCTGCTACCACTCCCCCTCCTCTTCTTGTCCACACCTACAACACCGTCTTCCACGGCTTCTCTGCTCAGCTCACTGTTTCCCAAGCTCACGCCTTTCACTCCTTCCCCGGCATTCTCGCTATTATTCCCGAGCAAGTCAGGCCGCTTCATACCACGCGATCCCCTCAATTTCTTAGCCTTAAGACCTCCGACAGCGCTGGCTTGCTCAAGGGTTAACCTTCAAAAACAGGAATTGGAAATAGGCAAGAACAAAAACAAAATATTCAAATCAGACCTGGAATTGGAAATTGAGCTTGGCTATCCAGTTGCTCCAAATAAGCCTTATTAGCCCAACACCCCAAGAAGGTCTCCCTCAATGCAGCCTGCAAAGGCCCCAAAGGAGGCGGGCGAGCTTCAAACGCTTTCAATAGCTTCCTAACTTTAAGATTAAGCGCGGCATAGTGACAGCGATCGCCATCAAACGTGTGCTCGGAGCAAATGGCCCCGCTTTCCAAAAGCATCCTAGCTGCATCCAAATGCCCCGCAAGGCAAGCGTAGTAAAGGGCCACCGAATCCCATTGGTCCCGAGCATTTACGTTGACGCCGGACTCCAACAAGTACTTCAACTGGTCAACGTCGCCGGCCCTGGAAGCCTCATAAACATTGCCGTATGGGACCTTTTTTAAGGGAAGTGAGGAGGCAAAGTCCTCAGGGTCCAAATCGATTCCAACTAATTCTGACATACCTGTAACGGATGATCAAAATTGCTAGTACTGATTAAATGTGGCAAAGGTGTTCGATGAAATGCCTCAGTGAAGTTTGCTTTGTTATTGTGGTAGCAATTAAACATCTGGGTTTTGTGAACTTAAGGACTAATCATGCTGGTGTTGAATTTTCTTAATTTTGACAGAAAGATTTTCCTTTTTCTCTTCTGGGTTTTAGGAATAATGAAAATGATTTCCAGAATTTCAGCAAGGAAGATAGAAAGAGAGGGAATGAAACTGTGACAGATACTGTATTGGGTTTTAGCATGGAACAGGCAAGAACAAAATGGTTAGTGTCTTGCTTCCCATAGAAATCGTACTTTTTTACTTCCAAAAAAGCCCCTGCCTCGCCGTTGGTTTGTGTACAGAAACATGTGTTTTGGGTGGCGATACCGTATAGGTCCTTAATTGACACAAGAATTTTAATTAAGGGACTTAATTCATGCGATAAAATGTTAAGGGACCAAATCGGCTTTAGTGAAATAATTTGAGGACTAAATTGGCGTTTTTCCCAAATTTAATAATTTGTTGCGGCGCAAGTAAGAATTTAGTCATGCTCATTAAGAAAACTGAGAACTTATTTCATTGATTGAGATATTGCTATTTGCTAGTGGACGGGCACCACAGAGTTCTAATTGCTCTAGTCAATTTACAATCTAAAATACTTTAAAAAGAATTTAAAAAAATAGAAACCAAATCATTTCATTTTTTTTTTTTTGGATAAAATAAAAGTTTGGATAAGAGGATTGACCGCTTTCATGATCTCTCGTAAGAAAGTGATCCATCGTTACCAACTGAATTAACTTATATTGATAAAAACTAAAATAATAAATACTAACGCAATAATTATGTATTGTCCACTTTAAATTCTACTGCATGTTTGGAAAGTCGCTCAATTAAACTTGATGGATAACAAATTTAAGGACTTGGAAGATGAAAATGGTTGCAAATATTAAGAACTTGGTAGATAACGAGTATAGTTCAGCTTCATTTGATTTACTCTAGCACATTTTAGAGACTTTTAATATAAATATTTAGAAATATCACCTCTATACTGTTTCATTATTTTCTTGCTCTTATATACACATACACCCACATTTTTCTTTTTCTCCAAATACACAAATAAAGCTAATTTTTTTAAAATAAAAATATAATATTTGCGCGATATTTCAATTCGATATTATTATCCAATTAGTTATCAAATACATATAATTTAAACAATTCAACAACTTAATGCTTTCAACACTTAATTTTCAAAATTTAGAATTCAGATTTTAAACTATAACATTCTGTAACGCATAAATTTGCAATTAATCCGGGATTTCCCATTGAAAAGTCAACCCCTTTTGGGCCTTTCAAAATCCGGGTTAAACCAACCAAAACAAACAAGTACAGAACCAGGATAGTTTCCTATAGGATTGGCCCATTTAATGGATTTAACCATGAATGGCATTCTAAGAATGATGCACTCGCAGTTTTGGCATTCTTTCCTCGTTCTGTCCTCGCTCGAGATCATTAGACAGGAAGGATTCCTCTTCAGCAGCTTCAAGAATGATGATCCATACGAACTTGGTAGGAATATTGTTCGAAGCAATTCATCTGCCTAAGTCAGTCCAAACGTTTCCTGTGACACTTCTTCTACAGTTGATCAAAGGAAAAAGCAGTTTCTGCATGTAAATTTCTGCTAACCAGTTTTAACACTTCCCCTTCCTGATCTCTTTCAAAAGACCCTAAACTTTCACATACCAGATGATAATGTGCTTTTAATAAATTGATAATCATACACTTGCATGATTTTCAATGCCTTCAGAGCATGTTTTGCAGCTTTAAAATCCATTACCCCATAGACCAGTAGAAGGATTAACAGTCCCTGAATATTGAAACGGTCAAAATGCTAGTTATCACTCAGAACTATCTCCCCACAAGCAACTTTGAGATACCAACTTGATGGAAATGAGGCAGTTATCACAAGTCTTACAGAAGCATAAGTCAGTCCAAAATGGTATAACTTCCCTAGAGTTTTCTCCATTCAATTGACTTATGAGACAACTAGATGGCATTCTTGCAGACCCTGAAAGCAACAACTTTAGGCGTCCTCAACAAGCCAAAAGAATAAAGTGATATCTTTTATTGCTTTCTCAGATCTATCTTTGCTCATGAAGCACTAAAACCCAGGTTAGGGAAATATCAGGTATCAGTTATTTTCTACTCTAATGTCTTCCACATAAGCCTAATCTCTTCTGAGTCAGGAAGCATTTCGTCACTAACAATGAAGCTATAAGTTTTCCCTCCAACTTCAGTCCAACTACAACCTACATCCTTCTGCAGTCCCATCTCTTTCATTATACCCCTGACCCTTCTCACATCATCCCACTTCCCAAAACCAGCAAAGAAGTTAGAGACTAGAATATAACTTTCAGCTCTGCTTGGCTCCAATTCTAACAATTTCTCAGCAAATTCATTTCCCAAATCCAACTCACGGTGATTTCTACAGGAACTAAGCAATGAGCTCCAAATTCTGGCATCGGGTTTAATAGGCATACTAGCAATTAGCTCTAAAGCATCAACAAATCGTCCTGCACGACCGAGCATGTCAATTACACATGCATAATGCTGCAACTTAGGCTCTATGTTGTGAAAAGCATGCATTTCGGTTAAATAACTAAGTCCCTGTTCAATCATTCCAGCATGGTTACATGCAATTAGGATATTAGAAAATGTACAGAGGTTGGGCTTCAAGCCAAGCTTTTTCAGTTTCTGGAATAGCATATGAGCCTCCTTTCCATATCCATGAATTGCATAGCCAGAAATCATAGCTGTACATAATGCAGTGTCTTTATCCTGTACCTGATCAAAAACTGTTTGGGATAATTCTATTGACCCACTTTTGGCATACATGTCAATTAATGAACAATTAACCAAACTATCCTTCATTAAGTCAACCTTCAGAGCGAAGCAATGAGCTTCTTTCCCAAGATGCAAAGCTGACAACCGTGAAATAGCACCTAGGGCACCTACTATAGTAATTTCTTTAGGTTGGATACCATCAGATACCATTTCACGAAAGATATCCAAAGCTGCACAAGGCAGTCTATAGTGCAAGTACCCTGCAATCATTGCATTCCAAGACACTAACCCTCTTGTCTCCATGCTGTCAAATAGAACTTGTGCATGTGCTGGAATATCACAACTAAAGTAAAGTGAAAGCAGTGATGTACTGATAAACGAATCAATTTCTAACCCCTTTCTAAGAACAAAACCGTGAATTTCTTTACCATACCATAGTGATTTCAAATGATTACAAGCTAAAAGAAGGCTACCAATGCTAACCAAGTCAGGGTCAATTCCTGAATGTGCCATTTCAAGATACTTTTCTAATGCTTTGGATGGATTCCCATTCTGTACACATCCACCTATAAGTGCATTCCAGGAGCTCACTGCTTTCCTCTCCAATTTATCAAACAGACACTCTGCCGTACTTAATAAAGCACATCTAGCATATGCTGTAATAAAAGCGTTCGCTAACAATTCACCATTTACAAACCCCTGTCTAATAGAATATCCTTGAAGTTCCTTCAAATACAATAGCTCTGAAGCCGCCTGACAACAAGGCAATACGTTCAACACTGTTAATTCATTAGCCTTGAACTTATCCCTTTCCATTTGCATCTTCCTCACAAGGTCAAATGTTCCATCAATAAGTCCTTTTCTAGAATACCCGCCAATCATTGAATTCCAAGATACTACATTCTTGCTATCATTCAAGTCAAAAGTAACTCGGGCTTCCTCCAAAAGCCCACATTTTGAATACATGTCAATTAGTGCATTGCTCGCCATTACATCCCCACTCATCCCAAATTTCACCACTAAACCATGAACAGCCTTTCCCATCACGGAATCCCCTTCCCCTGCGCAAGCAGGCAAAATAGTCACCATTGTAGCTGAATCAGGAACCAATCCATCCAAACCCATTAACAATTCTCTAAAAAAATTGAAACTTTCTTGAAAACACCCATTTTCGGACAGAACGGAAAGCATAGAATTCCAAGAAACCAAGTTCTTCTCAGGCATAAACTCAAACATCTTGTCGGCATTCTCAAGAATCCCAAACCTCCCATACATAGCAATCAATGCATTCCCCACAAACACATCAGAAGCCAAACCCATCTTCACTACCATCCCATGAACAGCCATTCCCAAATCCACATCCAAAATCCCTCCACAAGCCTTTATAACACAAGGAAACGTAAAATTATCCGGCATATATTCTGTTATTGAGATCATTTCATCAAAAAGATACAACGCATCATAGTAAGACTCATTTCTTGTATACCCACTCAAAAGCGCATTCCATTGGTACAGATTTTTCCCCCGTATTTGATCAAAAACAGAGCGGGAATCTGAGGGAGAACCACACATTGCATACATTGTAATGACCCTAGTATTTAGTACAGGATTATTTCTCAAATGGATCGACTCCCGAATTAATTCATGGACTTTTCTTCCTATTTCAATGTTTTTGTCAACTCCACAGGCCTGTAAGAGTATTCCCAAGGCTAAAGCTTTTTGGGTTGGATCAAGAAAGCTATTATGCGGATTTTCTTGAATCAAATTCAAGGCTTTGATGAGAGTTTTTGATTCGCAAAGTTCAGTTATTTCTTCAAGAGGAGAATTACGACGACCACTTCTGTTCTCAACTGGGGTGGAAATCGATTGAACTGAATGATTGCTGATGGGATTGCGAATGGGGAGGTGATGATGATGATGATGATTATGGTGGTGGAGATGATGGCTTGAAAATAACGGGAGCACCAAAGCCATGACCTAGGAGGTGCAGTGGTTGCCTCGGTTTGTTAGCTCGGGAGACCTTTTACCAACTCCTCTATCCTCCTCGTTATCTGTTCAAGTGGGCGGTGAGTTCAAGAATGACAGTTATTTTCGTTATTTCTGACGTTGCTCTCTGACAAGTGAGATCATCGTAGAGTTCCCCAAAAAAAAAAAAAAGAAAATAATAGAGACTTTGTATACTTTTTTTTTTCAAATTGGAGTACCTACACATTTGCAGTAAGAATATAGACTGGTAAAATTTATAGAGTGAAATATAATACTTAACGGAAGTGCCAGGAGATCTTGGATTTGAGTCTCATTAATCAAGTGTTTGGTCTGAATTGAGGGATTTGATGAAGGATTTAAAATTCATCCAAATTACTCTAGTTGTTTGAATTGTCTAATAGGGATTTAGATTTGTAATATATCAATTATTAAGATATAGTTTAAATACAAGATTAATTGATAATTTATAATTTAACTACCTTCTAAACAATATAAACAGCTAGTGGAATTTCAGAGGATTTTAAATTTTTCGTCAAATTTTTCAATCCAAACGCAACCTATAGTATTTACCTGGCCATTTTTGTTGATTAATTGTAATATATTGAGTTGCAATCTCTTAATGATTTTAATTTTTATACCTAATTTTTTAAAAATTACACTAAAGCACCAGTA